AGAGATATTACTAGAGATATTAAATCTCTAGCCTAGCAGCCGTCATCCTGCAACGTATCCAGTCTACAGCACTGCTTCGCGCTCGAAAACAGCGACAACTCAAAAGTAGTTTATAATTTTAAAACCATATTTTTTTGATGTTTGCAACAAAATGACAACTGCTGCCTTTTGAAAAGCAGCGCTGTTCTTAAAGTTGCCTCTGTAGAGGTATTGCGTAACCGTAGACTTCGTATCTCGCTTATTTAGGTTCAATTTATTCCACGTCCACTTTTTGTAATAAAAAGTGCTCTGTGTCGCGATGAAAACGGAAAAAATTTGTAAAGCACCGTTGTTCACTTAAAGCGTGAAATTATTACTAAATATTCTGCCATCGGTTTTAATTTAAATAACTTTTGGTAGCGATTTAGTGATAGAAATTCATTGCAAGGGAAATTACGGTCAACAGGTAGTCAAACATGTAACTTGAGGCATTCATTTATGTAATAATATTTCTAAAAGACGTTGAAATTAAACGTAAAGGCATCTTTTTAATCGTTTTTGCACAGATGCATGTAATGCTCTTAAAACGACGGAGCAACTAGTCACCGTGTTAGAATAAGTCAGTTTTACACACATTATATTTCCGATAGATGTACAAATTTCGAATTTTAGCATTTTAAATAAAAAATTGAACAACATAAACATACAATAACCTCTAAAATTAAATTGCTAAATATGAAAATCTTACAAATATTATACGAGTATATGCGAAAGTTTAGATGGATGGATGTTTGTAGAGTTTGTAGCCTAAACGGCTTAACGGATCTGTATCAAATTTCACATAGACTTAGAGGATATCCTGGAAGATCGTATAGGTTACTCACTTTTATTTTTTTACCACGCGGCAGGAGTCTCGGACGAAAGCTTATATTACATAAAAATTATGTGTACTATCTTAAAACGAATAGCAACATAATCATCGTAGAAACTCAAGCACTCGTAAGCTTCATCACAATGCAACGACTGCGAGGAATTTATTAAATATACAGAAAATCCAGTTTATCGGTAAGCTGGTCATAACTCGAGCGCGGTTGCAATGATTTGGATTTACTTATATGAAAATTCGAAATATAGCAATTAGGAAAAATTACTGAGAAACTGTATTTCTTTTAAAGTAATCATGTTTTTTTTTACTTGAAGCTTAAGAAGTCTTTGTTTTCATAACATTCACTTTTACAAATTCATTTTTTTTAAGAATCCGCTAACCACCTTTTTCTCCTGTTATTTTTGTCTTAGTAGATACGACATTTTTGAATATTCGTGGAAATAATGTCCTGACAATTGCAGGCCGTTTAGCGGTAGTATAGTGCCGAGATATACCGATTGTTTAATGGCGAGTACCTACATCGTTAAGATACGCTTGGGTGGACGAGTCACCCAAAAGCTTCAACCTCTAGCCGTATGTTACAGTAAAGGTTGAAACTTCGGTGAATACTAACATTTACTGGTAATATCAAGATTTACCAACTAGTTTTGTTAAAACGTCCGAAAAGTTACGTCATTTTTAGTCACTTACATGTGACACTTTAATGTTTTATTTATATTTTAATTAGCATATAATTTTAATTGCTGTTAAAAATATCTAATTATTTTTGATATGTAACGCACCGAGATTGATCTAGCGAATGGTTCTAGATGCCCGAAATAAAAATAACTTTGCAAAATTTACATTATCTGGTTGGTAAATTTTAGGAAAATGTAAATTTTAGAAATGTCCACAGTTCGTGGTTTTACAGTAACAGCCATGACGGACACTGCGTGCCTAATTGTCACGAATTAACTTTAATCGTCATTCCGTACTCGGGTTATCTCGCAGGAATGTTTCCTACACTATAAATACAAATGAATGACTCTTCTTACAAAATTATAAGCTGAAATCTTGATATCAAGACTACCGAAGTACCTACACTTGTTACATGCTTTCACTATCGTACGCTTATAATGCGTGAACAGATGCAAAACATTTATTATTTCGTTATTTTACTAGTAAAATCCCACAATTATGCGTCATTTAGTGAGAACTTCGATTGCCACGGACAAGGTTGGAAACAATAGCCATACTTCCATGCAGTTGATTAGATATGGACATTAATATCAGATTCAGTGAAATACCTTTACAACTTTTGATAAATAATTACTGAACCGACAAGGTGGAATATTATCATAAACATCACAATGCGAAAACATTCTCTGAATTGTTATTCTGTATACAGCTCAAGCAAAATATTTGGAAAGGTTCAAAAGAACGCATTTTTCAGAATCATGTTGTTCATGGAAACGAAACGTTTTATATATATTTTTTTTAATTCTATCATTTTACCATTTTGGACCATCAAAACTATGTAAACTTATGGATATCTATGCTCATCCGTGTCTTTCTCTGAAAAGAGAGGTTACAAAATGTTTTTACAATTGCACCGATTTTGGGCAGCGTAATACCCACAGTAACTGAATGCATGAGCGACTATCTCGAAGTTACGTAAACGTTATCAATGTTGATAATCAATATCTTTAATATTTATGGATTTCTTTACAAATACGTAAAAACCTTAAATTCTTCAAACTTTTAAGTGTCCTAATTAATCTGGTTTCAAAAACAAATTAAAATGGGTCAAGAGTAAAAAAGACTGCAGTGCAAATAAAAATCATACAACCAAATACTAGCTGAATATCCTTCCTGGTGTTCGGATAACGTTTTAAAATATTTTAGTACATTTGTTGGAACTTCAATATTGTACAGTAAAAAAGTATATGTAAAATACTTGATAGCGCAAATTTTACTATATTAATGAAGCCAATTAACACAAATTAGGATCATTGAAGAACGATTCTACTGTGTTGCTTGATCAGCTTAACAGCCGGATTAAAATCCGAACAGCCGGTCTAATTTGTTAACAAGTTGAAGATTTATTTTTCCATTTTTTCAAATCTTCACAATCTATATCAGTTGTTCGTGACCCGCCTTCTCTGCCGACAATACACAAATTTCAGCTTGAACAGATTAAATTCGAACGTAGTGCTAGTAGCGAAACGTATTTGGGTCGTTTTGAGGATTTGCAGATAGATTTACTACATTCCAATATTCCAAGTCATTACTTCAAGCTATCAAAACCAATCTGTAGCTATCATAAGCCTCTTATTCGAAATCGTAATTCAATAACTCAAGTTAACCCAATCAGTCTAGGATACCTATAATAACTTTGAACTCTGAAACTGTCCACCTTGGACCTGCAGTCTCGTATGATGTTTCCCTTCCGCCGGCTCTGTTGACCGATCAGTCGATGCAGTGGTATATTTTCCTTTCGCCATATTAATCTAATATAATGGAAAATCGTGCTCATATTTGTCCAATCCTTTTCAAAACGTGTATGTTTATTTTCAAAATTAAATAAAACTATCCAGTAACAAAAAACATAAAAGATCATAATAAACTGTATGTTCTTTAACTATAACAATCAATGATTACTTTACAATACTGTACATAATCATGTACTTACACCGGGCGTATAGATGAAAAGACGGAAGTCGGTTAAGAGGAAAAAATATATCTCATTAGGCCCATTGATCAAAAGACCAATCGGTCGAATGGGAAACGCCCGCAATCTCCTACAAAAACCACTATTCTGCAGGCAAACAGATCAAATGTAACAGCAGACATATAAAAAGTAAACAAAGTCCCCAAGGTACTGTAGGGATTCGGCCATGACTTCATTCTACGAGGAAACAGTTAAGATCTGGTATGGGACCTAAGAACGCCCGATTTATCTTGAGTTGGACAGATTAAATGATAGATGTTTGGTTAAATTATCTCGTGCCAACAGCAAAACAGTTTTAAAATTGACTAACCCAACAGAGTCGACTTTTGCTTAGATCAAATTTACCGTCCAGCTTCAGATCAGCTTACGATCTCTAGAACAGACGAAATCAAAACTAAACAAAAAATGGTCGATCGACTTGAGAAGCCTCGCGGGCTAAGTTGTCTACTTGCCCACTTCAAGTTTAGATTTTGCCTCACTACTGGTCCAAGATTTCCAAGAGATCCTCGATTTAAGTTACTGTTAAAGAAGTTTAAACTAATCTCAAAAGCCCAGAGAAACTGTAGATGAAGTTTTGTAAAAAACGTAAGTCATTAAAAATTTATACATTTAAAATCATTTTTATACATTAAATAAAATTAATGTAATATGAATAATGATTAACATACTGTATTAACCCTTATTGTAGAAAAGTTAAATCCATGTAGTTACTATTTTACGCCTTAAATAATATTTTTCCCCGTTCTTTTCAAAAATGACCAACCCACTTTGATAAAAAAGTGAAATGATTGTCAATAACAACCAAAATTAAAAATCTACATCACAATAATTATTCTGGATACAAAAAACTGCATATAACCATTTAATTCCCCTTAATCCTGTAACATTCGTAAATAAAAAATAACTGCCGACAACGTTTGAAAAGTTGAAGCGTAAACTTTGTAAAATAAAGTTTGTTTTCAACGTTGAACTGTGAGGAGCAGTGTTGCCGCGGCAATTTCAAAATAATACTCGACCAGTTATTACAAAAAGTAAGAAACTGAACACTTGTGTGTATACAAACTCGGTTAATAAGATAAACCGTTAATGCGAACTTTTTAAAACATTGCTAGGATATTTTTAGTTGTGGCGTAAGCACGTTCCAGCGTAGTAAACGCGCGGTGTTGTACAGCGCACAGCGGCAAGTCCTCTACTTTTTCGGTAGGGAAATTTTAGGAAACTTTTTGGGCATTGTCAAGTTTCAACAGGGGTTAAGAAGATCGTCGGTTTAGGTTGAAGATTCGTTGAAAATCGACCGCGAAGTTTCACGCAAGCGCGACGCCTCCCAACATTCAAGTCTCAAAAATTGTTAAACAATATAATGCGCCAGCTTGTTCGCTTCCAGTGCATGCCAAAGTGGTAGAGTCACCGCGCAGCGTCACTTACCTGTTGCCAATAGTCTTCTAGGGACAGCTTCCATTCGAAATAGCCGGTGTCCGTTACGTCTTGCAACTCGCGGAATAGGTTACCGCTCGGAAGAACATCCATCGTGCTTACATGTGACGCCGAACGAAATTTTCACACAATTCACGTAAAGCCCCTACGAGAGAACGCGCACGACTGGTTTACCGCGTCTCGCGCCGGCTTCCCCTCAAGCCGCGCCCACCCCGCGAATATCCTCTTGCGTAGACTAGAAACAAACAGAGACAATGTGTATTGCTTTCTCTTTTTTCGTCCTTAAGGATAGCAGATAATGTTATGGAATTTTAATAGGGGGTAACTGAGGAGACGTACATTTTTGAAGTACGTAAAAAATAGGCTTTTACAAAAAATTGGTTAAAATGTTAATTATTGTTAAGTTCCTCAAAAAATAAGTTATTTAAACCCAAAAACATTTTTAACGGGAACAATATCTTGTTTTATGTCCTAACAAGATTACTAATTTGTGTTTTAAAAATCTTATTAAAAATTACGAAATAATTAACAAGTTACATACAATTAATTTTGCACGTAAATGTATTGTAAATAAATACAATAGATTCATTTTTTGTGCTACAGATGAATAACTCATAGCTGTGGCATGTTCATTAAATCAGGAAACCTCGAAACTTAAGCTATAACATCTGCCAAAATTAAATTTCATGAAATATTTTATTCCTAATTATCCATGGCCACACGATACAAAACAATATTAGCTTCAAAAAGCAATTAAAACGCCTTACAGAAGCCACCAGGACCAGGAAGACTTTAATATAAATTTGCCTTCGGCTGTATCCTGTAATTACTTAGAAGAAACACATTTTAACACGCTTTATTAAAATATTCGTGTTAAAGACAAAATGCTAGAAGCAATTTCTTTGCATGTTATCTTCCACTTTTTGTTCTACTAATCAGATTTTATAAAAAATAGTTTAAAACCGAAGGCAAATATTTTGACCTTTTGGAAAATATAAAAGACATGCTCAAATGCTTGCTTTAAATTCTTTAAACTGTTGTAATAATGTAATATACTATATGAAGTTACTCATTCCAATTGAAAGTTAATGTTAAAATACTAACTGATATCTGAATTTGCTCACGTCATTCTAGCATTATATAGTTTGCCTTATCTTTGATATTAATATATTATCTTAGGACTTTATCACACAAACGTTAACTTTTTTTCTAAATGTATATCGTTCTTACTATTTTCTTATTTAAAAACATCTGAGAGAATATGAGCTCAAATTTTACAATGTAAGATAATACTCAACCTAATATGTAACCTAAATAATACACCACAGAATAAAATACATATACTTCTTGTAGAATTATTTATACAAATAATTTAAGGAAAAAACATTTAGTGATTTAGACAAAAAGTAAAAAAAAAATTCGCTTCGGCTTGCCGATAAATGTAAACTTCGTTTAAGTTTATCAAATAATTCTAGTTTCCAGAAATTTATCAAGATTCTTAGTAATCTCTGGAGGTTAATTAATCTGTGTAAACTACAACTCCCGCGCAACGCCGGCATGTGGACGGTCCCCGTTACCGTACGCGCGTACGCAACAACCCGTGACAACTCCATTCATACTCACGCAGCAATAAACACTACTCATTGCATAGATATTTGGTAATATGAAAACTATTTAATCAACCGTGAGTCAATGCAATGCAACCGCACTTTAAAACGAGAGATCGAGATCTGTTCAGCAGTTTAATCTACAAACTGTAACAAAACATTCATCTAAACTTTCGCATTTATGATATTTGTAAAATTTTTTATAGCTATATGACCTGAAATACCTGCAGCTTATACAGGCTATGTACTAGCGAGGCAGTACCTACGTCCTGTCCGCTGCTGGCGACAGTGAAAAGTTCGGTGTCTCGGTCGGCTTACACCAGGGGTCGGCTTTAAGCCCGTATCTGTTGGATGCTTTGGCATTATACGTACAGTAGGACGCAGCCTGGTGTATACTTTATGCAGATGACATCGTGCTTGTCGGGGAGTATGAATGCGAGGTACAGAGCAGGTTGGAAGAATGGCGGGTTAAATGAGAGCTGGTCTTAAAATCAGAAGGACAAAAGCAGAACATTTATTTTGCGATTTCGGCGGTCCGACCAGCTTCTTGTCAATCGCCTTAAGTGGTGAGCCTCTGGGACGTAAAAAGCTGAATAAATGCAGGTTGGATGTAATGGCAGGTTACTGGTGTGACTTGTGATCCAAGAATGCCTCTTATGCTTAAGGGGCAGATCTACAGGTCCATCATAAGACCTGTCGTATTTTATGGATCTGAATGTTTGGCCACCAAAGTTGCGGATGAAAGAAGATAGCATGTGGCTGTGATGCGTGTGTTAAGATGAATGTGTGGTGTGACAAAAATGGAGAAAGTTAAGAATGTGTATATATGTAAGAGGAAGTTTAAGAGCAAGTAGCGCCAGTGGTGGACAAATTGAGAAGCAGAAGATTAGCGTGGTATCGACATGCTATGTCACGAGACGCTAGAGAAGAGATATCCCCATATATAAACCAGAAAGTGTTAAAATAAATTTGGATTTTTTTTATAAGAGAAGGGGGCAAACGAGCGGCGGGAACAGAGGTTGTCAACGACGTCCATGGGCATCCGCAACACCAGAGGAATTACAGATGCGTTGCCGGCTTTTGAGGAAATTGTAGACTCGCTTCTTGAAGAACCCTAAGTCGTATTGGTTTGGAAATACTGCCAAGGACAGACCGTTCAACAACGCGGCTGTGCGCGGCAAACAGTTCCGCGAAAACCGCACGGTTGTGAAATGCCAGCCATCGACATAGTGGGAATGGTACCTAGTGGTCTGTCGTGTCGTCCGATGATTAAACTAGGCGGCATGCATCGTTCCAAACAGCTCCTCGGAACACTCCTCGTGGTAATTACGGTAAAAAATGAAGAGGGAACTGACGGCCTTCCGCGAGGCCATCTAGCCGATCTAGCCGATCGGTAAAAGCACGGTCGTTGACGATTCGAGTCATTCTCCGTCGTACGCCGTCAAATGGAAGAAGCTAGTATTGGGGCGATCCAGCTCAGAGCGAGCAGTACTCCATATGGGGCCAAACTTGCACCTTGTAAAGTTGTAGGTGTGGCCTGGCTGGAAGTACTACTTCGCAACGATGATGGCTACTAAGGAAGAGGAAGACTGAAGAAAGTATAGATGGATTGTGTTAAAGAAGATATGCTTAAAAAAGAAGTGTATTCAGATGGCTGATAGAAATGTATAGAAAAACAGCATATATTGTGTCGACCCTCCATAAGGGATAAGGGCCAGTTGATGATGACATAATAACACTTTCGATTTTTTCCTTCATAACCATATTTACCTATATCTAATGATACATTAAATTATCTTATATTCATCAGAAATATCACACACATAACAATAACGTTTTAAAGTTTAGAATTAGTTACTGTTTGAATTGAAAGGAATACGAAGCGCTGTATTTCTGCGTACCTGATTTGTTTAGCTTAGAGACAACAAAGCAATGTTTACGAAGGACGTACATACATTTATATGAATAGTGCTTGTAGCAACTGTTACTATACTGTTATACCAACATGTTTATAAACACACGACCTTGACATTTTCCGACTTAAATTGTTTACACGTTTAGTGTAGATATTTTCCAAGAAAACACTTTAGTTATTATGATTATTGTATTCTCAATTTTTATTATTCGTTATTTAAATATGAGATGATTAGTTAGGGAAAAAAAAGCTGAATTTGAAGTGCGAAAGTTTCCGCGTCTGCCCAAATTAGTTTTGAGGTAAGGTTAATTATTTCACAAGTCTGACTCTTAAGCTTAATAATGTGAATGAAGAATAACAAATGAACACAAACAGGATCAGTTTATCCAATAAATATTATCACAACTACAGCCGAGATGCGGATCAAAATGTATATCGTAAAAGATTTAGAAATAACACTATTTTTAACGGAGACATGTGTATTGGTAAAATATGTACAGAAAAAAACTAGAAAAAAATGTTGACATCGACAATGTGTTCTAATTTTAAATAATTTAAATTCTTCTTCTTTTCTAATGGCTTGAGACCTAAAAACGTGTAAAAACTCCTTAAACAAGTCTTCATTACCAATCAATGTCTTACTAAAATTATAAATGTGAAAGTAGAGAAGGACGGATGTTTATTAGAAGGTATTTCCAAAACTGGCCTTCTTCTTTTTAAAGTGCTATCTTCTTTCGAAGTTCGGCGATCATTACGGCGACTTGCGTTCTTGACTCCGCGGCTCTGAAAAGTGAATGAGTGCTCTTTCCATACCACTGGCGTAGGTTTTTGATCCTTTTTTTTTCTCGCTGGGATAATGCATTTACGCATCCCCCAGTCCGTCACCATGGGGGTATGTGGGACTCGTCGGCCAAGGAGATGGAAAATGGCCGGAATACCCACTTAAAACCCAGCGGTGTTCCTTCTATCCGCCAGTGGCTGGGTCACGGGAACGCTTGCGCAATCTTCGCCTTTAGGTTTTTGACTCTGGACGTTCTTCTTCGACCTACACTTCGCTTTCCGTGAATCTTATCTTGCACGATGAGCTGCAGTAGTTCGTATTTGGCATTTGTCATTGAATGAAATCAAAATCAAAGATGAAATTCTGCACTATGTTATTATTTTAATTCCGCATTTCAATGCGCGTTATTCGTTCTCCAACAAATTTAATACCGTAAGAAAATTCAGGCCGTCAGTTATTCACGTACGTTACTCGATTCTTCATTAGTTAGAATTTTAACGTCACAAGGTCGAGCTTTTGTTTAATGTTTCACGGATATTAGTGAGTTTAGTTTAGTTATTCATAGTTTGGGAACTGACAATGCTCTGGAGATAAACGTACTTGGTGCGATTATTACTATTCTATTATATTATTACCACTTCGTAAAAGTTTACGGAGTGTAATCTTTGGTGTACATTAAAATTATCTAATATTAAACCAACAGTTGTAGCTTTCCCTGTATTCTGCTGAGATTGTTGTTTGTCGGAGGGCAAGTTCCACTGTATAGCCGCGGCTACGAAATAATGGTCGGACAATTTATTTTTTATAACTGCAGAGTTTATCGAAGCGCTAGCTGAATGATGAGGATCTAAGCAAGATTCGGTGACG